CATAGGGCCTACACACACACAAAAAAAACCCACCCCAAACCCTGTTGTAGCAGCAGAAAAAAAATAATCTTGAGATGTAACTCACTCTCAGTGGAAGGAACACTGGCACCCAAGAAAATTACTCACTGGTAAGACAATCCTTAATATTGTGCAAAGGTACAAAACAATCCAGTTTGCAAAAGCCTGATATGCTGCAACTCCAACAAACCTCCTCTCACTGGGGAATTCCTGGGTGTACTTGATAGTTCAGGTGGGTGTGTGAAGTTTCCTCAATAGAAAAGAGAAATCACCAGTGCAGACACTGCTGCTTCACTCTAAAAACTCTCCATGCAGGATATCTAGACAACTCCTTCCCCCATCAGATCAGCTTCCAGTCACCTTTAGCCAGATCTGTGCCACAGTAATTGTGTCAACACAAATGTGTTGGCTAGTTCTTCTTCCAACTCTCACACCCCTCTGTTGGGTTACTCCACCTGTGGAAACACAGCCACACAGAACTGAGACCTTTATTCCCATAATCACCAGACCAAGCCAGGCTGCCTCTATCCTGGAAAGGCAATTAAGGAAAGGCAAGACACATCTTGCTCTGAACCCTTGCACTATGCAAATCCACTCACCCTTGGGAACAAAAGCTACTAATCCCTGCAAGCCCATTCCTGACACTCAGCTGCACAGAGGTGTATGTTTCAGGATAGCACTGAAGGGGAATACACTGCTTGACATCACACAGCTGCATGGATCAGCCCTGAAAGAGAGGGGAAGGGAGCAAACCATACAAGAGCCATGAGCTTTCTCCAGCCAAGGCTCCCTGACCTGGAGCAGGGAAGCAGATCTGCAGGGCTGGTTCGGTTTTCTAAACTACTGAGCCCTGACAGCACCAGCTCATACAAAAAGCTTTTCTTCTCTAGCTACTGCTTCCACCTCATCAGACTGTTTCCACAGCTCCTAAATTAAAACTGAATTGTCTCTAAACCCTTCAGAGAAGGACAGAAGGGGATTGAATTAGGTTGCATCAAATCTAAATAAGAAAAAAGTTGCCTAGCTACCACATATAGGTCTCCACCTGCAACTGTGACCACACCTGTCATTCTCACTGATCTTCACCTGGCTGCTACCTCCTGTCATCTTACAATTTTTCACAGAATCGCAGAATATTCAGAGCTGAAGAGACCCACAAGGATCATCAAGTCCAGCTCTTGGCCCTGCACAGGACATGCCCAAGAATCCCACTATGTGCCTGAGAGCATTGCCCAAATGCTTCTTGAACTCTGCCAGGCTTGGTGCTGTGACTACTTCCTTGGGGAGCTGTTCCAGGGCCCAATCACTCTCTGGGTGAAGAACCTTTTTCCAGCATCTGACCTAAACCTCCCTGACACAACAAGTTAACCCTTTTCTCTTGCAGCACATCCTCCCCAGATACCCACAAACACACCTTTTCCACCCACCAGACTTGTCTGATTGCTTTAATATATTAACCACTGCTCTAGCCCAAGAGAAACAGAGCACAGGGCAGCTTTTCTGTCATGGAGATAAAAAACTATGGGAACACACCAAACTCCAACCAGATTGTCCAATCTTTCCTTCCCATAATATTTTGTGCAGAATTTTCCCTACCAAGTTTTGTACCAAGTTGTTTGGATACAACAGTGATGAATATGTTTACTTGCTCTTCCCAGTTTGACCCAAGAGGCTTTAAAAGACACTACAATCTGTTCTTCCCACAGGTGACAGGGACAGAGGGGGATCAGTCTGTGCAAACTAGACACTGAAGGCTGCATCTGATTCTGATGGATGAAATCCAGGTTCTCCTGGGGAGACAGGCTAAATCCTAGGCTTGATAGTTTAAACATGCTGAAAAACTTAATCTATTCCTTTCCCCATGCCTAAAATCTCAGTCTGATTTACACATTGCACATTTTTCCATGAAACACAAATCCATCAAGATTACACATCTGAATGCCTGCATTAAATAGAGTGACTTGTCACACTCTTTTCCATGAGCAGCAGGCTATACAGCACCTCTAAAGAAAGCTACTTATTGAAGTTTATAACTCAGAGAGCCTAAAAACACCGAGATCAGTCAGAATTTTGCTCTTAAGTTCTGTGATCCCAATCAAGCAAAAAGAGACAGAAGGGAACATAAACCAAAGTCCTACATTTTGCCATGTTCCCTGTTGAACACACTGTGGTTCTAGCAAATATCTACACAGGAAGCAGCAGTGAGCCCTCTCCTTTGCTCCAGAAGGTACAAGATGAAACAACAGCAGTTATGCAAGAGAATCAAATCTGCTCAGAGTTAAAAATACGTCCGTTAGTCCACACGGTGACTGCAACTCTTAGAGGAATCACTATCACAATTTAAGCTGGATATTCAGTGCCTAGTTTGCTTTTTACACTCTTTTCAATTATGTCCTTTGTGTCTAGAAGTAGAAATATGCATCATAAGTAAATCCATACCAGAAACCATTCTGGTGATCATCTGAGCAAACCAAGGCTTTACCTTCGTTTACTCCTAGCAGCATCCCTGTGTTAAAAGAAATCATTTCATGTATTTTATAAAACTACTTCTTCAGCATTGGGTCTATTTTTGCATAACAAAATTAGTAACCGTTTTCTTAGTGTGAAACCACAAGCACACCAGATGAGGGAGGAAGAGAAATAACTTGACTAATAATATTACATAAGGAACACAAATGGGTTTATGGTTGACATGGGAGCTTCAGAATGATTTACAGCCATCACCTCGACAAATTCCCAGATCAAAATTTTAAGCAGAGCTCAGGGACTGACTCACAAGTCTCTATTTCAGTAAGCACAAGTTGGATCCCTGGAGCATGCTCAGCTGACAAAGGTTTGTGTTCTGCCCTGCTCACTGCAAGATTAAAAGCTGGACCTTGGACCACAGCCCTTGCTGTTTGTTTAAAGCAAATGTGCTGTGTGACACAGACAAAGCAACTACACAATATACACAGTGTTAGTTTATGATCTGTTTCTCTACCACCCCCAGTTTGGTGCAGGTACTGATGAACCATGAAAATTCACATGTTGCCACCATGACCCAACCCCAAATCCTGGAACTGGCCAAGGAGCACAACCCACATGTGCTGCAGACACAGAAACAAGAAGGAACTAATCCCACTGTTTATATGTTTATTTTTTTTTCCTGGTTAAACATGAAAATGCCCAATGGATATCCAGAACTAACAACAGGAGGGTTGTATAGAATATCATAAACAAGACAAGTAGGGCCTCAAATGTTCTTCTGCTGGAGAACAGAGTTACTACCCAAGCACACAGTGCCAAAAATATCCAACTTTGGGACCAAGGAAAGCCCAGACAGATCTCCAGCATAAACGATAACAACCACCTCCTCTTCCTGGTCACCTGATCTCTAGGAAAGCAGACAGAACAAATGAATCATTTTGTAGCTTTATTATCCCCCCCACTTCTCACAAACGGACTATGACTCGCATTGAGATCTCAGTGCATTTCACCGCAAAAAAAAATAAAATGTACAAGAGGATCAAAACAGTTGTGCATAAACCCAACTCTTCTTTTTTTTTTTTTCCTTTTTTTGCACAGAATTTACAGTTTGTGTTGAAAGTTAACATGGTTATTTGAACCTTCTGATGCATTCTTACACTTGCATCTTCTCTATGGAAATCATCTTACCAGGTGGTCACACAGTTGTGAGTTCTCATGATGCTGGATCAGGTGCAGCCATTGCCATGGCTGGGAAGTGGCAGGTAATGTTATATACACTGATTGGAAGACTACATCAGAAGAAAGAACAGATTAAGGCACCACTGTTGGAAAAATTAAGGTAGCTTGTAGTTACAACAATAACGAAAGCCATAGTAAGTACTATTCTTAATTGCCAGCAATTCTTAGACTTCAATAAAATAGTTATTAAAAAAAAAAAAAAAAAAGGAGGATTGTACCTGAGTTTCCTGATATCTGATTGTGTTTCAAATCAATACCCAGTCCTCAGCATAATCAGTTGTTTGGTTTTGTTTTTTTATGGTAAGATGAAAAACCAGGACCTACAGTCCATGTATTCAAGGTCACATTTCACTGCTTTGTTCTGAACAACACCACAGAAGAAAAAAACAAAACAATCCAAAGGACAGTTTGTAACACTGATACTTCATCTCTGACTGATTGTGTTTCAAATCAATACCCAGTCCTCAGCATAATCAGTTGTTTGGTTTTGTTTTTTTATGGTAAGATGAAAAACCAGGACCTACAGTCCATGTATTCAAGGTCACATTTCACTGCTTTGTTCTGAACAACACCACAGAAGAAAAAAACAAAACAATCCAAAGGACAGTTTGTAACACTGATACTTCATCTCTGAGACGACTAGATGGGCAGAGGAATTTACATACAAAATTGTATGTTTTCTGTTCATTTTGAAAGCCTTAGTCCTCAGGAAGAGAAGCTGGAGGAGGAAAAGACAGGCCAAACCTCATTACATTATAACTTGAGAAAAATCAGTCACTCAAAGAGATTTAATAAAATTAGAGTTGAAAAGTGTTCAAATTACTTTTCCAATTCAAGTCAATTATTTCAAGTATATTAAAACGTTTCAGAGGAAAAATTTCTCCATGGTTACACTTCTAATTGCTTTTATAAATCCATAAAAAAAGAAAGGTAGTCTCTACACGTATTCCATATTCCTCCAATGCATGCATGTGTTCTCTCTGAAGAAAAGGTCATCAAGATCCAGTTGTTTCTTAATACTGATTTCAGGCACATCTTCCGAACACCCTCCAGTTTTCACCAAGCAGGTTAATTACTGGGCATAACAGCAGCAATTTTTTGTTGCTGTGGTCTACATACTGAGCAGGTTTCAGTTATTAAAGAGCTTGATGCAGATTCCAAAAGAGTTCCTATGTCACTCCAAAATCCAACAGTTCCTTCTTCTCTTAGGCAGCTTTTGCAATCAGATCTACTTAGAAGAATCTTACACAATGCAGAGAAAATCTCTTGGATCATACAAAAAACAAGTTTGGTTGAATGTACCTGGCAAGTTTGTCTCTACAACTTGGATTTTTACCTTTTTGTTTAAATAGCTTTAAAGTGCCCTAGTATAGTTATTTCTTTATGCTCATTCGAACTCATACAATTACATAAAAAGGGGACACTCAGTGGGATTACTGTGTTTTGAGAGACAGAGGAAAAGGAGAGGAAAATCAGAAAACTCATCTTAAAGCAGCTTTTTTTTTCCTAGTTAGTGTCCGTTTGCTGAGTTTGTGCAGCAGAGACTGTTTTCCAGAGGGGTTTATGATAAACCCAGCCATCTCCCTGCAATTTAAAAAGAGGATATGGTTATAATAAAGATACTGCCCTGAGAGAATTCCTTTCACACAACTATTAGACTGATAGCTGTGAAAACCAGAGGGACATAGCCTATACCTTTAATTCCCACAGATTAAGGCACAGAGATCAACACTGCAGGCTCAGACTGCTACAGAACACAGTGCAGGCTCTTGCTAAGCCACAGCACTCTCTGGGAGCCCAGCACACTTGTAATTAACCCAGTCAAAGAGCCACTCTGCTCAGCTCTGTGATCCAAATTACTCTAAGAAGCCAAACAAGCAGCCAGCAGAGAGGCAGCTACTCAGCATTATCAGCTCCAGCACAGCCCAACTGCCCACCCGGAAATGAAGTAGCTCAGGATTATGTATCAACATTTTCTGTGTACATCTGTAACTCGGATTAGCAACAGACTTTCATCTTTTCTAAATCTAGATACTAGCAATACAACTGTCTATGTCTGAGCTAATTATACCAACATAGCTTTAGAGAATAAAACCTTTTATTTAGGCTAACAGAGTCTTGAACTTTACAAAACAAAATTGAAAGAAACATAAGAAAATGAAACTTTTTAGCCTATGTTTTAAACCCTTACTAGTCTGCAGATATGGCAAGAACAACAGGGAATTACATTACTGCAGTGTAACAGAATTCACTGCAAGGAGAAACTAAACTGTTACAGCATAAATTTAAGTCCTCCGCTCCTTAAAGGGCTCAGCAAAGCTCTCTACACAAGCAGGGTCTCGTCATGGGGATCACAAGAAAAGCCTATTTCAAACTCATGATACCAGCAGCCCCAATCCTCCTGGGCAGGCTGCAGTTCACCTTGTTAAAAGTTTTACTATATTATTACTATACCATTATTAAAATGCAGGTTAAGCCACTGAAAAATAAGCTCTATCCAAAATGTAATGTAGAAAAAAAAAGTTCCAAGTTGAGAATGAACCCATGTTCCGTCTCGGGAACAATAGTATATTGGGTATACACACGCACTACCTAAGCAAAGTTAGTGCACCAATTTTTTTCTTTAGGTATTTACAGTTACAGTCTACTTACACACATATATGCAAAGATGTTTTCCACGTGCCATTGAGGATGTGCTTTTTTTAAAAAAAAACTGGACCACAAAACAGACAAACATTTTGATGCAAGGGAATCACAGACTCGAAGTGTTTGGGAAGTGAAGAATAAAGTCACACCTTTACATTCTTAGGATTTCTTATGACATCTTACTCGTGTGGAACCCATGGAGCTCAACTAAGACCTAATGCTGAATGCTCTATCCTGACAGGACACAGACCCACAAGTGCACCTGTTTTCACAACAGCTCTGCTTCTGCCTTCACCAACCAGCTAAGTGCTTGGGAACTCACATCCTTAAGGAAGTATTTGGTACACCAAGGTGTTTCTGTTTCAGCACGAAGCCTCTCTTCATTCCTCTGTCGTTCTTCAAGGGCTCTCTTGTGCTCTGTAGCCTTATCGATGTCTCCATCCCGCAGAGACTCTGTCACATGCTGCCACAGCCTCCTACGAAAAAACCGATCACTTGACTGTTCAAAAGTTTTCTCAGCCTTTGTGCTGGTTTGGGCTGAAGTGGAGTTAACCTTCTTCATAGTGGCTAGCATGGGACTATGTTTAGGATTTGTGCTGAACACAGGGTTGATAATATAGGGATATTTTTGTTGTCACTGAGCAGAGCTCACACAGAGCCAAGGCCTTTGCTGCTTCCCAAACTGGCAAGGAAGTTGGGGGTGCATGGGAGGTTGGGAGGAGACACAGCCAGGACAGGTGACCCAAACTGACCAAAGGGACATTCCATACCATAGGACATCATGCTCAGTATATAAGGTGGCAGGAAGAAGGAGGAAGGAGGGACATCTGGAGTGATGGTGTTTGTCTTCCCAAGGAAGTTGCACATGATGGGGCCCTGCTTTCCTGGAGATGCTGAACATCTCCTGTCTGTGGGAAGCAGTGAATTAATTCCTTGTTTTGCTTTGCTTGTGAGTGTGGCTTTTGCTTTCTCTATTAAACTGTCTTTATCTCAACCCATGAGTTTTTCTAGCTTTTACCCTTCTGATTCTCTCCCCCATCCCACTGGTGGGGGAGTGTGTGATTAGCTGTGTGGTTCTTGGCTGCTAACTGGGGTTAAACCACCACAACCTACAGGGTCACTGCACACAGTTCTTTCAGAAGAGGAGCACTCCCTCCACTTATACATGCCAAACCAGCCCAGGTCAGAGTATGATGCTGTAGATCACAGCCAAGTCTTACAGCTACAGCAGCAATTAGGAGCAGGTAGGAGTGGCTCTGAGGTTTTGGCAGTGCTAATCTAATGTCTGTTTGCAAACCTTTTAACGCTGCTATGGAAGTGTTATTCAACAAGCAGTTTCTTGTGAGGCTGTCCCTTGTCAGGAGCTGCCCTGCTGTGTAGCTGATGGTTAAAAACAAATAAGGAGGGTCTGTTCTAGCAGGCACTTTATGAATTTCAAAAAAAAAATCTCTTGTCATGAATAAGATAAATAAATAAAAAAATAAAATGTGCCTGCACTTGGGTTTTGTACTTTTTATTATGCTCTTAATTTTTATTTTTAAAAACATAAAAATTTAAGATCATTGCTGCTAAACACTATGCACAAATAATATGCACATCTGCAAGTTTCCCTAAAGCACTCACCAGACAAAAGGGGTCAGACAAGAGCAAACACACTCTACCTTGATTCAAAGGGGCCTTGCTTCTCCAGGGGCCGCACTCGTTTTCTTGTCACAGACAGCTTTGTCAAGTCCACGTATTTGGTCTCCCCATTGCTGTAGGTGAACTCGAGCACACTGTTCCACTCCCCCTGCACTCTGCACACCACCGTGTTCGTCATGTTCTGCTTCACTTCACCTGTGACTCTAGCAAAGGAATTTTTTTTTAAAAGGCCATCGCTGAAGACACCTGAGGACTATTCCTTGCATAATCCCTCAATCCTGAATAAGTCTGCAAACTTGTCACGTTGCCTTGAAAAATGCTAAGTTACTTGAATTGCATTTGCATGGAGAAGCTCAAAGCAAAGTGACTTTCACTTGCTGCTCTAGTTCTCTTCACGTTACCCAGGAAACTCCACTTTTGGCTTCAGCTTAGGTTTGTTTCAAACCTTTTAAGGGAATTGGAAACGAAAAAGAAACTAACACAGGTTGGTTCACATGTAATGAGTAACTGATCATTTTCCCTTGAAACATCACATCAGATACACAGTTTGGACTTAAAAAATAAACTTCCCAGCAGGACTGTCTCACTACCCTCTGGCACTTTATCTCTCATCTTTACATTTCAATGCTCAGTATGTAGGTGTTCTCATTTTTATGTTGCTCACATAAGCAGCAGACACACAAAGGCAGAAAGCAAGGTAGGAAACTAGGAATCAGGAGAACTGCTTTTGTATCCTGTCTCTTCCACAGAAACCTGTGCCAATAGCAAGATATGAAAAATGTCTTTCTAACATGCAGTACTTCAATCAAGATGTTGCACAATGCTCAAATATCACCATAATTACACACACGGATCTGTATTTTTCTTCTCAGCACCAAAACCTGTCCAAAGACCTCCTGACATCCACTTCATCCTGGCCCAGTTGTTGAGCATTGCTTGGCAAGCAAATCACCACCCCCAAACACAACTTTTCTCCTAGAAACAAAGAAACAAAAGGGTCTGTGCACTATGCAAACAAGACTTGAGACATTCTCACTTGTAAGGTGCTGCAGGACTCACGAAGGACACTATCTCCAGCTCCAATTAAACTGTAAGGACCTCTACACAAGCTCCCTAAAACACACCACTCTCCAGGTCCCCTTCTCACATTTCATCAGTGCTTACACAAAGCATCTCCTTCCACAGCTCCATTCTGTGTGGCTGAGAACAGCTAACTTGCACACCACTGGTTTACCCTTATTTCCTTTGAACAGCTGCATACAGGAGAGTGGAAAGCAGCACATCCGTGCTCACACTTCATGTGATGCCACACTCAGAAGGGAACACAGGACTTCCCTTCTTCCCCATGCACTGGTCACTTCCCACTGCACCTGCACCCTCCTGTCCTCCCCAAGCCTGGCATACAAATAAAGACATTAATCTCTCAAGGAGTGATATGAGTATCAGACCTTCCAGCACAGAGATACTGGATGCCAGTCAAATCAGACCCACAGGCAATCACAGCAAGCAAGGAAAGCTAACAGCCAGCTCAGAGCAGGAGGCAGCAGCCAGGACTTCTGCCACATCATGGTCCAGCAGCCCAAACCTAACTTAACCTCATTGGAAACATCATCCAAAAAACAGACTGGTAAGTATGTGCTGCTCTTGCATTTTTCCATCACAAACATACAAGATTCGTTGAAAAAAACATGAGCAATTAAAGCACATTTACATATTTTTGGTGGAAGTTTTCAAGCACGAACAATTAAATGAAAACAAGAACAAGAGCAGGTAACAAGCCAGCAGCCTTGATGTTGTGCTACATTTTATCCTGTGACTTCCACACCCTCACCAAGCTATTACACACGGTGGAGGCCCTGTCCTCCTCCCAAGGTATCTCTGAACAACCTGAATCCACAGGATGCCAGAGACTCGTCCAGCTGGATCTGCAGTTACACCTTCAGAACTTTAAGAGCTTGATATTTTTTCCAATCACAGTAGCAACATGCTGCTGACATCCAGTATTTTAATATCAATCACAAAATTACTGTCTCAGCTTAAAGTAAACAGTTGTATCACTCACTGCTAAGGTGCAGTAGTGAGTGTATTTCTCCAAGTCTCACTGCTCTGTGACATACAACCATTCCCAGCACTGCAGACCATAGTACCTGCCTGAACTAGTATTAGGGATAAAAACCTGCTAGCACTGATTTGTAAGCTTGGCATGACTGAGGTATGTCTAGCTATTCGTTATCATTATCCTCCATTTCATCCAGCTAAAGAGGTACAGGACCAAGGAGCCAATATTCAGCTGAGGTCTAACAACAAGGGTCACTCCACAAAAAAAAATCTATACCATTGCCATAGCAACTCACTTGTGCTCTGGGTAACCATGACAACACTGCTGCTTCCCCATCAAGAGATTCTTTTGGCAGTGTCCAATCATCACCATGTCAAATTTTCAGTAGTTCCAGTACCTTGAACAGATCTCTCTTTAAAAAGCCTCTACATCTCTGTGACTAATTTCAGAGAGACAAGCAACAAAACAGTTTCCAAAATTAAATCACTTGAAGTAAAATTACATCCTGACACTTTTTTTTTATGGAGCTATTGCAAGGTAGAAGATACATCATAAGCAATGGGAAAAAAAATCCCAAATGATGAGTCATTTTAAACTTGCCCCAAGTGAAACAGAACTACTCGTAAGCTTCAGTTCTCCAGATGCCATTGGGACAGAGGAGCTATGCTTGCAAGTTAAATTCAAAGCATGTATAGGAATTTATGGGGCAAGGTGGGGTTTTTTGTTTTCTTTAAGCAACAAATAGGCCTTACCCCACTGTTTCAGGAAAAGTGATGTAGAGAAGACTGCTGATTTTTTTGCAACATGTGAGAGCAACCCACATCTAAGAAATTCTGATGTTCTAGGTTGTTACATATTTCATTATCATCTCCAACACATTTAATCTAAGAAAGATTTAAATAAACACTGTTCAGTCAACAGCTGAGTGCAAAATGCACTGGAATCAGAAATTCTCTGAGTGACTACTAAATTTTCTCCTTCTTCAGTTAACTGTCTCTATATTAGCATGAGGCTAATCTATTGCAGTCTAACTATAAAATGGCTAAAAAACTAAACTCTTCTGCACCAACTCTGCAAACACTTCCTAGAATCTGCTAGAAGCAACCCCGAGCAAACTTTCCCTGGATCTTCCTGTTAGTTTTTAAACATGCATGTGTGTGAAAAACTACCATTACAAGAATTGTCATTTTTTACTTTTTTTTTTAAAAAAAGGCTATTTTTACCTAGAGGTTTTCTGTAAGCTGCTTAAACTTGATAGTTTTAGTTTCTTATGCAAAAATCCTAAGACAATGATCCCTGCAGTGCACATATAGTGCATGCTGCAAACAACATGCAATCCTTAAAGACAAAGACAGTGAGATCAACCTCACTTCAAACAAACAAACAAACAAAAGCTCTCACAGATGCAATTTGCCACCATAGAAGGGTTTGGTGTGAAAGTTAATACTTGCAGAATACCCAGTCTTCACACAGTTAATGTTGACTTTTCCTCCCAGTTCTACCCAGGGAACAGTTAAAATTGACCGAGCGTATGCGCAGGGCAGAGAGAATGTGTATTCTTCCCCGTGTTCCAAGAGACTTAAGAGACCTGTGTGGAAAAATACAAGAATCCCTAAATCAGCACCATTTTAGAAAAGACCAAATGAGTTATTGAAACAGACAGCCAATACTACCTTTGACTACTTTTCCTCACAGCTCCTCACAGAAAAAAAGAGAAGTTTAAAAAACTCATGCAAAAGTGACATTTATTAGACTCAAAACATTTTCTTGGAAGTACTAACCTGAGTAACACGCATTTATGTTTCTTTTGGGAAAAGACATTTATCCCAGTAATACTGCTCCATAAAGCACAATATTGTGCAGTGAACATACTTTTCAGTAGGATGTAAGAGGGCTGGTCACTCTCTCACTGATGGCTCTGCAGCACAGCAACATAAGACTTATGCTGACAAAAGGAAATAGGAATGAATTCCCTAAACTGCAGATCCTGAGGAAGGCTCAGACTCCTGTTTTCCCTCCCTGTAATACCTTATCCAGCTGAAGGCAGGTAGCAGAGACCATTCTCTGCCAAGATAGACCCAACTCTTTCCTGACAGTACCTTTTGCAATAAATGTCAAGAATCTGATAAAACACTAGATTTTTTTTCTTTGGGTTTTAAGACGAGTGTGTCGCTTTGGTTCCTATAAAAAAAAAGCCAAAACAAAAAAAACCCACAAGCTCTACTGTTAACAAGAACACAGCACAACTTCTGACAGTTGCCTGCCTCAGCAGCACATTATCACTAGGTGCCTGACATCAGTATGAACGACCTGAGAAATTCTGGAAAGGTGTGACATGATTTGAGAAAGGCCCTAGAGGAGGTATCATCTATCAGCTTCAGAGATTACCTGGTAGAGCCAAATCACAGAGATGTGCCTTCCACATCTCCTGCCATTCCCTTGGTTATTCCCTTGCCCAGCGTGTGGTTTATATGCAAGTGCCTGGAATGCTCAGTTACTGGACAATACACACAAGGGACAGAGTATGGGAGAGGCTGCCTCATCTCTTGCAGTAAATACTAGTACTGAAGGGAAACTACAGTTTAAGGGCAGTTACCCTTCTCTGTCCCTTTTCTCTAGCTAAAGAAAATCAAAACATGCATAGCAAGATATATGAACTGCAATACAGAGAAATGCACCAACACTTCTATTTAATAAATGTCTGATGCAAAATAATTCATAAGTATCAGTTTACATCACAGCAACTGCCCTTTGGTTTAAAAGTCAAATTTCTGTTTCCAAATACAATCCTGATTTTTGGCAAAGCATAAACCTATCTATTTCCCTCCTCCATATGCAAATTTGCTGTTTACAGTGATGACTTGTAGCATGTTCTGTACTTTGCAAACAGCAAAATTAAAGGAACAAGTCACCAATGATTATACATTAAGGCTTGCAGACCACAGAGATTAGAGGAAAACCAGAAGTATGTGGGGGAAAAAAATAATCTGAAAACCCACTGACATCTTCTGCAAGCAGATTATTATACTTTTTTCTAAGTATGTGAAATGACTAAGCAGTATTCTTCTGTGTTTCTGCTAGAGGAATGTAACACTGAATTTGCTATCAAACTAATATTTTAACAGTCTTCTAAAATGAATAAAGGACAGGAGTAACACTTACCCTCACCAACCATTGTCACTCCTATTGACATCCCTAAGAATTTACTCTTTGTCCAGACATGGGCATTGACACACATCTTTCTCTCTACACACTCAGCATAAAACCCTGAGACAGGAGGATGGTGGGACACTTGCTCAGCTACAAATTTTACTGTATAGTAGTCCAGCTCTGCTTGGCCCTCCATATCTTGATCCAGAGTTACTGGGTCTGAGGGGGAGGGAGCAGAGCAGTTGCTGCCACCATCAGTGGCGACATGGCTCTTCGGCATCCTCCAGGAGCAGTGGAAGGTCTCCCCAATGATGGGGTTGTAAGGTTTCTTTGCAATGGCTCCTTTGCGACCTTCGTGAAACGATGTCAGATAGTACTCGACGAAGCGAATCATCCTCTCCTCAGGGGTGGTGCCATTTGTGATTGCAATGAAGAGGTCTGGATGGGACATGAAGTCTGCATACATCTCTAATAGCGACCGCTTCTCCAAAATAAAAGTGGGAAGGACCACCTGAAATAAAGGAAAACCCAGAATCATAGAATCATAGAATCAACCAGGTTGGAAGAGACCTCAAAGGTCATCGAGTCCAACCCTACCGTCGTTACTAGACGACATGCCACTAAGTGTCACATCCAGTCTCATCTTGAAAACCTCCAGGGATGGTGAATCCACCAACTCCCAGGGCAGCCCATTCCAATGCCTGATCACTCTCTCTTGTAAGATGTGCGCAAAATACAGTGATCAGAGGTTCCAGAAAAGCAATTTACAAGGAGAAAAAAACCCCAGTCAGTACTATTAAGACTAAAGAGGCTGAAAAAGACTGAGCATCAGTTAAAAAAAAAATGACATAAACCAAAACATAAAAGAGCTGCAAAGAGATAACGTGTCCCATATGTCTGTGGAAGAGAAAACAAGAAAGAACTCAAAACTATAGCAAGGAACGTTCAGAGCAGAGGTTAGGAAAGGATTTGTCTAATGGAAAGAAAAGCAGCAAAGCTATGCCAGCTCTGGAGAGCTTGTAGAACCTCTCTCACCACAGCAAATAAGACAAGCATCCATGAGAAGCAGCAAGGCACAGGTCGATCCTGTACCTCTGAGCAGATGTACTTTATACTTTTCCAGTTATATTCACCACTATAAAAAACATCAGTCCTGCCCTTCACTAGGCCAAGAGCAATACAGTAGAGTGAGAGGCTGTGGGTATCATCAGCCTTTTCCTTCCCAGTAGTAGCAACCAACCTCACATAACTAACTCAAAGAGCAACACAAGGTGTATCAACCATGAGATCAAGACAGTACGTTTAAAACAAGAGCATTCAAAGAGAGAGAGCACAGACTCTTAATAGACAGGTAAGTTAAGTTGAACACACTTGCCATGTTGTTGCAACACCAACCTGGAGTATTCGAGCGGCTTTTCACTTCAGTACCCTGATACTGAAGTTAAGTGTGGTTCTAAAAACTTCATTACCTGTTTTGAAGTCAGGCTAGTCCACTCTAATGCTTTGCCTGCTCTGAACTAAAGACAGTTCTACCTGCACAGCCAAAAGCCACAGCTGGGAGAGAGGCTAGGCAATTTGTTCCAACTAAGAGAAAAAGATATCCCAAATCCAATCTTCAACGCAAGTGAAATAATGACTTGATCAATTCCTGATTAAGTAGAGCCTGTTCATAATGTCTTTTGTTTCCCTCCCGAGGTGAGAAATGTAAGCTCCACAACACAAGTGTTTCTAGGGGCCATGTAGCTAGTGCTAAAAAATACAGCTTGAAGAGAATAATTATAAATCATAATTACAAGAATGTTCTCCTCATTCCATGCCACTTCAAAATCCATTTTTTCTTTAAATGCGCCTAGTGCTTATGGTTAAAAAGTCTTTACAGGAGTGAACTGGACATAAGCTGGTAGCAGCCTGATTTTCCCAGACTGGCTGCCCAAGCTGTCTAGTAGCAACTGAGTGTTAATTTTCCCAAGCTGCTTACTTTTGAGATCTGCACTGAAGTGCCAAATTCAATTTTCTCCAGGATAATTTTGCTCCTTCTTGCTTGTGAGCAAACACAGAAGTGGAAACAGGAAAGAGAAATGTAAACAGACATCTGAAGACAGATAATGGGGAACCAAAACTTCTATTAGAAGCAAGACAAATACAGGTGTAGAGTTATGCAAGTTGGGTGTAAAAGCATTGTTAGGACAGAACAGATCACGGAAGGAAAGCAGAAAGAAAAATCTGAGAAGGCTGTAAGAACCAGCATGAATAGTAAGGCGCAAACACAGAAAAGAAAACAGGCCAATATAGAAAAAAGAACAAACTGGGACATCAGACCTGAAGTTGCTACAGGCCACAATTTAACATTAAACTCAATACTGTTCAAAACAGGAGCTGAGTTTGAAATGATACTTCACTTCTACTGCACCCAGTCTTCACACTTCAGTTACTTACTCTTGTTAAGTCCATGCCAAGTTTCAGCTGAGACAACAGGTGCAAGATAACACTGCGCTGCTCTTCCACTGCTCCTAGATCATCTTCTTTATCATCACAGATATCCTCCAGCTCCTCATCTGGATTTATTTCTTCAGGTTCCTGGAACAGAGCCATAAACTCAGCTCAGAGATGTGACTGGACAGACAGTATTCAAAAAGGACTTCATATTGTATTTAACTGTCCATGTATGAAAAAAAGACTAAATAAACCCTTGAGGAGAGCTGAACAATGGAATCTACTCCCAAGACAAACAACAGTTGAAGAATTTGAAGGGATATTATGATAGCAGTTCAGATTCCGTCTAGATGATTCAGGCTAAAATTTCTCACCATTTCTCACATGGGTCATGGAAAGAAAAGAAAAAGCTTAAAAGAAATTATGACCAGTTTTCCTGTAAGTTTTATGAGCTAGCAGAATAGCAAACATATTAAACATACACAGAAATAGAAAAACAAAAGCTAGCAGAAATTCCAGCCACCCCAATAACTCCTTCAAACTTCACATTACTTTAGCCTTTCCAGCACTGCCTTCATAGATCAGCCAGGTTGGAAAAGACTTCCAAGATCATTGAGTCCAAACCTACTGCTGTTATTAGATCATGGCACTACGTGCCACATCC